CCCCGGGGAGGCGGCGGGAACAGCCGGCAGCGAGCGCTCAGGAGGTGAAAGAGCAAGCAGGGCAGCCCCGACACCCAGCCAAGGCTCTCGGCCACGAGCTGGATGCGGCAGAGCCAGAGGAGAGAGGATGTCCTTCAGGGAAGGTCGCTCTGCCTGGCCCTGGAGAAGGTGCCTCCAGCGGGGGATCCCGCTCCTGGCGCAGGGAATCACTCCCCAAATGCAGTGAGTCCACAAGTGCCCCAGCTGCCAGTGATCCTGACCCTGCAAGGCCCAGTGGGGAAGGGAGAGAAGGGAAAAATACCTGTTTGTCAGCCATTTGGCATGGTTTTCCCAGAAAAAGTTTAGGTCTCTTTGTGGAGGGGCCAGACGAGTTATCTGAGGACGTGGCTGCGGCCCTCAGGCACGGCTGGGGAAAGCTGGCAGGAAGGAGAAGAGTGGTTTTGGGGACAGTGGGAGAGTGCGGCCCCTGCAATGCTCATGCACAGCATGACGACATGGGCACACACAGGTTCAGCTGGTGACCTCAAGTGCTGTTAGCGAGCAGCTTCTGGGGACACCACCACCACCCCAACCAGCCCATCCTGGGGACTCCAGCTCTGGCGCCCAGCACAGGATGGGTGCCAGGGCAGGAGGGTGCAGCTGCAATGGGGAAGACAAGCAGAGCCTGGGGGGGCCCACACACACCACTGCTGCGCAGCCAGGGCCAGTGCTGCCACCCCCTGCAAACCCCTACCCAGAGGTAAGTGCCCTAGCAAGCACCCACTGCCCTGTTTGGGAGCCATAGATGGGTGGGAGGTGGCACTGTCCCTCTGCCACTCATGCAAGTGACTGTGACTGCAGAAGCATCCTGCTCCTGTGGACCCAACAGCAGGACGCTGTGCAGCTCTGATGAGAAGTGAGCACCTGGAGAGCAATTTCAGCCTCTCCATTTTCAGGGTAATTGCACATGCAGATACACAAGCACCTGACTTCCGTGCAAAAAGCTCCTTTTAACTTCAGATTTAGCAGGAGCCTCCTTCCAGGCCAGAGGAAATTATTCCTAAGGGCTTAGAAGCAAAGCAGCAGAGCTCTCACAGGACCCATGCCTGCTGCACGGCTCAGGGCAGCAGGAAGACACGAACAGGCTCCTCACTCCTCTCCAGAGCGCCAGCAAAAGCTGCCCCCCGTGTTCCTCCTGTTGGGAGGGCACCAGGCCCACTTGCACAGGGTGCAGGTGTACGGGGGGAGCTGAGCAGCCAAGACAGGGACCATACGCTGTGGGCATGGCAGGTGATCCTGCCTGCCTCCTGGATGCCCTGCTTGCGGCTCCTACCCTCACGAGGGGACTCGGTGCCCTTTCCCATTAGCCAAGGTAGCCTTCAGAGTTGGGGGATATAAAAAGAAATAAAAATAATCAGACACATCGGGGAGGCAGAAATACCCACCTCCAGCTCATCACAGCTCCCTGCAGCCCTGACCTCTCTGCCCATCTGCTCCCTAAAGATTGACCATCTCTTGGTAGCCCAACCCCTCTGCTCTTGAGCCCTGCCATTGACACAACCCAGCCACGGGCAATGGTGGAGAAATCCTCCCGTGCCTGCAGCGGTGAAACGGGTTTAACAGGCCCCACCACCGGCCTTCTTGTGAAACAGGCTCAGGGGTAAGCCGGGCTCCAGGAGAGGTGGCTTCTGGCACCACAGCCCTTGCCTGGGCACCTCCTCCTGCTATGCACAGCCCTGCACCCCCATCTGCAGACCCATCCCTGGGGAAAACCAGCACGGGGCTGCTCTGCAGGGAAAGGGTTTTGCACCGCAGTGAGGTCGAGGAGGGCTGTGCACATGGCACAGCTGCTTCCCCCTAACCAGGTTAGCAGAGGATTACCCGTGTTTTGGTTAGAAGGGAAATAACATGTCCTGCAACAGGCCAGCCCATCTCAGAGGGCATCCAGTGGCTGCGCTGGGGCCAGGGGCCCTGTAGGGTCTCGCACACGATAGGGGCAAGGCCAGCAGGGAGCACAGGGGGTCAGCGCGTCCATCGGTACACGCACACGTGGCCACTTTCATCACGCGAGCGCACTACGGCCAGGCTGGCGAAAGCCTGATCCCCTGTGACCAGGATACACAGGACGACAAACATGAAACGTGCCTCTCTGTGCCCCGTGCCATCGGGTGGGTAAACAGCCCCGTGCAAACAGCGCTGCAGATAATGCTGCAGATGGGATGGAGTAACCTGTCCCTAATCTTACTGGAACCATCCTGTTTTAACAGGCTGTCCTTTCACAACCCACCCATTCATTGCCTCTTTGCATTTACTTCTCAATGGGCCAATATTGCAATAAGTCATTATTATATTCTAAATTTCTTGGCTGCGAGTATGATGGCAAAAGCCATTTCTCTTTGCTCACCATCACAGCATCACCTTCCTTCAGTGCTGGCTCCAACTTTGGGGACTGCCAAGTCCCCGTCCCAGCTCTCCTCACCTCCCCGCTGCCATTGGCATCCCCAGGCCCCAGCTCTGCCATTGCAAGCAGAGGAGCTGACACCAGTGCAGGGGACATTCGGGTCCCAGCCAGCCCACCACGCCGCTTCAGACACCTTACTTTCTAAGCATCCAAAAATCTTTCTAAAGACAGGCAACAGAGAGCTGGCACTGGAGCCCAGGGCTGCTGGACACCTTCCCTGGAAGCGTTCAAGGCCAGGTTGGACGGGGCTTTGAGCGGCCTGGTCTACGGGAGGTGTCCCTGCCCATGGCAGGGGGTTGGATGAGATGATCTTTAAGGTCCCTTTCAACCTAAACCATTCTGTGATTCTGTAGCTGAGGCTTCCCCAAGGATGGGCTCTGGTACCCCAGCCACCAGCACAGGGGAACAACGGCTGTACCAGGCATTGGAGCACAAGGAGAGAAAAGCACTGGCAAAAAAACAACCCCTGCTGTCAGGAGATGACCCAAGACCTCAGGGCACAAGCATAGGGTCACCACCGCCCAGGCAGGAGCAGGGAGGCTGCATTGGCATGCACTGCACAAGGCTGTCGGAGACAAGAGACACTGCAACGTCCCTGAGCTGTCAGCTCGTGGTGCTCCATGTCTCCGGGAAGACGGATGGCTCCTTCTGATCATTTACGTCAACCCAGAGAAAATGGTTGCCTACAGAATGTCAAGCAGAGCATCAGGCATGTGAACATCTCAGAAACTCACATTTCAAAGCCCGAGTTTAACCCCAGCTCACACTGAATTCATTCAAACCGAAGCAGCAGGGCACTCCAATGTGGTTTCCCAGTCCTGGGGCTGACAGCCTCATCCCACCAGAAGCCTTGGGGCTGCTCTAGGTTTCTGCAGCAGCTGTGGTCCACGAGGGCTCACAGACAGGCAAGGATGCACTCCTGGCCTGTGTGTTCCTTTTACTTCACTCCCCAAACAGTTGCCACCCAGAGGAGACAAACCCTGAGACCACAGCCAGGCGTGATGCACCACGGGCCAGCAGACCTGGTAAGACCAGACCAGCTGATCCTGCTCCACGGCCACGATCAGGCAACGTGGCCACCATCCACCTCTCCAGCTCAGCGTCAAGGGGGAACATCCCCCACTCTGCTGTGAGCACTAAGCGTCCATGCAAAAGCCAGGGATTGTGCTGGACCACGACCATTCCCAGTAGCACAACCTCCCTCTCACCCTCCCAGGAGGGCAATGGCCTTGGAAGCCCAGGTGGACTTGGGACTTTTGGGAAAGGAGTCCTACTCTGCAAAAAGCAAGAGCTTTCACACCCAGCCCCTGACTTCTCTGCAGGTGAAACATTTCCTAAGAAAGATCATATCAAGAGATTAACAAAGAAGAGGAAACTGAAGCTCTAATTACTGCTTTGTTTCTCAAGTGATCTTAGGCTCCCTGCTAAAGATGCTTCATGCCCTACCCTGCAGGCCCTTCTCTTTCTCCCTGCAGAGTCTCTCTCCCTCTGACCCACACTCCTCCTGGGACCTTGGTGCATGTCACTGCTGTTTCCCAGAGGTACTCAACGTTTGTGGCAAACATCAGAGCAGCAGTCATGACCGCTGCGAGCTCTTTCCAAATCACGCAGCATGTAGGACAGCACCCGGGCACGCTGCCTCCCTGTCCAGGCAGGATTAGGTGTGGGCAGGAACAGCAACTGGTCACCAGCCAGGGGCAAGCAGAGGTACCACGCAAAGAGCAAGGCAGCTGGGAGCTTCTCTGTGGGAGGGAGCAGACCCCTGGCTTCAAAGTGAGCTAAAAACAGAGTAAGACTGTACTTAACTCTGGGCAGGGCAGGCGAAGCCTTTCATCAGATGGCTGCTGCTAACCAGGAGCAAAGTTCTCAGGAGGAGGGCAGGGGAGTGGGGGTTTGCCTGCAAAGCAGCAAGTACCACTTGCCCTGGGCTCTAAATAGCCCACTGCAGGCTGGTTCTGCTGACCTAACCACCCTGTGGTGCCCACAACCCAGCAAGGAGCCCTCCGGGAAAACACAGGGGTGGCCACCTCTGGGTGCTCCTGCTCACCGCACGCTGCTGGTATTTCAAGTTCCCCACTCACCCACCGCAACACAGCTCCGTGCCGGGAGCTGCGCAGTGGTCAGCCGGCGCCCGTTCCTGCAAGAGGCTGCTGGGAGGGATGGGAGCTTGGCAGGATAAAGGGTTTGTGTGGAAATCACAGCACAGAAGCTGAAAGCTGGCTGTGGGGAGGCTGGAGACACCACTGGACTTGGGTCAGCATAAAGCCTGCACATTAACCGGTCTTTTAACCAAGTTTAAGCTAAGCTATGTTATGCCAAACCTTAGTGTCCTACAGCTATGTCATTTCTGACCCAGTGCCAGCTCCTCCAAACCCACTTTGCACCATTAGTTCAGAGCCTGGAGGGCTCTTCCTCTTGCAAAGGGGGTGTAGGAGCTAAACATCAGTAGGGACCCACACACCCCCAGTACTTCACCTGTCGCTCTGCCCCCTCTGGAGGCCCAGTTTGTAGGCAGCAGCCTCACGAGCGAGTCCTGGCAGTGACACCCACCCAACCGGCCAGGACGGCCAAGCTGCCTTCGTGTGCTTGGGCCACGCACGGCCGCGGTGCAGACTGGGTGGTCACCACGAGGTGAAGTGCTGCCCTGGCACACAGCAACCGCTTGGACAAACGAGAGCCCATTAGCAAATTAATTTTTAACTTTGTCTGTTGTGACAACTGAAGGAGAAGAGCTCCTGGCAGCCAGAGCTCCACTTGCATCTCTTAAGAAAAGAGCCAGCCCCAGCCTGCTCAGCTCTGAGCTGTGCTTCCCTGGCAGAGC